AGCCCTGCCTGCCCATGGCTGCGTGCTGCCCAGCCTTCCCCCAGAGAGGCTCTTCTGCCCCCCAAAAACACAACTGAGCCCCAGGTTCATGGAAGCCTGGACACCTCTTGGAACAGGGACCACCTGGCAGCAGGCACTTCTCCTTGCAACCCAGGACCTGTGACAGCCCACGCTGCATGACCATCTCCAGGGTGTCAGGCCAGGGTCTACACACATGTGACGTGGGAAAAGCCATGGGCCCTCCTGCCCCAGCCAGGTCCAGCCCTACCACTCATTTTCCCAAGGGCAAAGTCAGGAAGGCAGGAGAGGCTGCAGCGGGACCCAGGCAGCTCATTGACGGGGGGCCCATCTGCTGCTGATGTCAATCAGCCTCATCTTTGAAAGCCCCTGAAGTCCCTCCCCAAAACAGAGGGACAGTGACTCTTTTCACAGGAAAAGGCACAAGCTCCTTCCCAGTAGAGCCTGGGGAGGGAAACAGGGAAACTGAGGCACATGGCACAGACACACAGCAACACTGGACAGGGACTGTATTCCTGAAGGCGACGCATGTTCCAGTCATCTGGGACACAGCCCATCCCTTCTCCCATGGCCCCAAACCCTCCGGTGTCCCCAAGGCAATAAATACTCCCCAGGCTACTACACGCAGAAGCTCCCAGCCCACTGCCTCCCCTGGGCATCACAGCTCAGTCTTCACTTTGTGCATCAAGTCCTTCTGGTCAATTTTCTCCAGGTCCTGATGCCAGCGATTGTAAGCCAGCAGGGCCACATTTTTGGCTGCCACTGCTATCATCTCCATGGAGCTGGCCACCCACTCCACACCGCTGAGGTAGAATAGGTTTTCATGGAGCACAATGGGTGGGAGGGACTTGGCGGCATCGTAGCGGGGATATGCCGGCCACTCCGTCACCTGCACCGAGTAGTAGGACCTGAAGAGGGTCTTCAGCTGCTGCTTGTCCAGAGGCTGCTGGGGGAGGCAACGCCAGGTCCAGGGGCTGCTGGGAGAGGACACGCCGCACTGCAGCCTCCTGGGGCTGCTTGCGACGGAAAGCTGCCGAGATGTTGACAGGACAGATATTGTCCATGGCGTTGAAGAAGAGGTCAGGGGTGTCAGTGGTGAGGATGCTGGCAAAGGGGAAGAGCTTGGGGTCAGGGAAGCCGAAGTAGGAGGAGTTGAGGTAGCCATGCACCACGGAGGTGACAGAGGGCTGGAAGGCTCCGGGAAAGTCGGCGATGGGTGGCTCAAAGTTCTCAAAGGTGAAGTTACTCCTGCTGGGGTGCAGGGGAGTTGTCACAACCACCATGTCGTAGAAAGTTGAGCCCTGGCCTTCACTGCCCTCGTAGTGCACCTGGTACAGGGCCTTCCCCTCTGAAAAGATATGATGGACAGTCAGGAGTAGCCCTGAGCCCCAGGTGGTATTGCCCTGGGCCCCTTTTTCCTAGCATGGCCTCTGTCCTGTGGTTTTCCAGTACACACGAGTGCTGGCCCATTGGATCTGATGGTTAAGTTGCCAATGTCTTAGGACAACAGAAAGATTTTATTAAGCCTGTAGGAGAATGTTTTCAGAGAAGCCCAGCCTAGTGGGGCAAGGAGGACTCGGGCAGCACAGCCCTCCCATCCAAACCCCAGCTATGCAGCCCTTCTGCTGTGCCGGATTGGGGAGCAAGCCTGCAACAAGTATGGTGCCACAGAAGAGACTTGACGGGCTTCAAGAGGGAGAGAGGGCAACATCAGGGCTGAGATCTGTGCTGCAGGGCTCCCACCAGGTCACACAAGGATAAAAGAGAGACAGACACCCAGACTCTCACCTAAACACTTCACCAGGTCCAGGATGCTCTCCAGCCTCCCACTGCTCGCTCTCTGCCTCAGCATCCCCCTGCTGCCATCACCAACCTCCTGCTCTGGTGTACCCAGACCCACACATCCATGCTGGCAGCACCCAGAGCTCATACCCGGGCTCACCTGAGCTGTGCAAGGAGACACCCGTCACCCTGGCTGGGATAACGTTGGCTTTGGTCAGCTTCAGCAGACCTGAACACACCAGCTTGTTGCCTCCTTCCACTGCCCAGGTGCTGCCCTGGGCCCCCGCCAGTGACATGGCTCCTGGGGAGAGGAAGAGGATGGCTCAACAGGTCGCCCATGGAGGGAACACCGGGAAGGAGAGTCACACAGGGAGTAGACAGGGTTCCCTGTTTCACCTGCGAAGGCGGGCACCAGCACTGACTGCCCATAGCTGGAGCGCAGGACAGCCGCGATGACATCATCCACGAAGCGCTGTGTGACGCCCACCTCCAGCAAGGACTCGGCCACCGAGCGCTGTGTCATATTGACAAAGGCATCACCCCCCAGGGAGCGCAGCAGCTCCTCCAAGCTGGAGAAGGCATAGCCATGCGCCTGGTACTTGTAGATCCTGCAGGGGACAGGAGCACAGGACATCTGGTGATGTCTCAGTGCCAGGGAAGACCCTCTGTGTCCCCCCAGCCCTGCAGGTTCTCCTACCTCATGAACTTCTCCATCACCTCCTCCACCCACATCTGCAGGCGCAGGAAGCTGATGCCATAGTGCCACCAGAGACGGAAGAGGTTGAGCAAGTACCAGTCGGTCTCTTCCAGGACGAAGTGCTCCCCGCTGAAGATGGCACTCTTCCCTGCCACCTCTCGCCGGTGCTTGAGGCCTGTGGGGAGCAGAGGGCGGGCTGCCATGTGTCTCTAGGGCTGGTCCTTCACAGCAGCAAATGCTGCCGCAGCAGGAACGTGGGCAGAGGCTCCCAGAGGAGCATCAGGGAGCGTGAGACCCCAGAGCACTGGGATTTCAGTCAGACCCTGTATGTTGGGACATCCCATGGAGTTGCTGTTGCCTACTGGGACAAACTGGTGGGAGTTTGTGAACAAAGCCCCACATTAATTCCACCCTGAGGCTCTGCAGGGCCAACCTACCCCTTCACCTTCCAGGGCACCACAGGGCTGGAGCGCAGGGGCAGCAAGAGGGTCGCCTTATGCCTT